TGGTAGCTTTCCCATAAATATTTAGTTTTATAATCCATGAACATGGTATATCTATCTCTCCAGATATTTAGTTCTTTAATTTCTCTCATTGATGTGTTTTGTATGTTGCAGCACAAAATGTTTTTCATATTTTTTTGTTAGATTTATCCCTAAGTATGGTGGCTCAATTATTCACTGTAGTCATGTTAAGACTCGCCATATATGTACATTCACTATGTGAACAGTAAACCATTGCTCCTGCAGAAATTTTTTTCTATAACTTGGATTAGGTTCTGGTAAGCCTCATCACAAATTTCTGTCAAGTGATCAACACATGACTTTGCTTTATGTGTATTTTTGTTGAAAGATACCTAATATATATTTCTTACAATTACATACAATATTTTTTATAACAAAAGACTAGCTGAGAAGGACTTAACATTTTCCTGATCCTGGACAATGCAACCACAGATTTCTTTGGGTTTCAACCTCCGAACAATGCCACCCACTATGCTTTTTAAATTGGCCATGATTTCATGAGTCCACAAATTCAGCCACATTTCCATAGTTAAATCACAGAGCTGTTATGTTAGCATTTGTGGAGTAACCTCCTGTATAGTCTGGCAAACACACTCTTCCTTTTCCTGGTGTACTGTAGTGTTCACTCATGAACACTGAGCTCATGGGCAATCCACAATGCTTCAGCTGAACAAAGCGTTTTCCCTGCATGAGACATCATAGCTCTCTTACACACAGGAACACTGCATATAGTACTTCAACAACATGGGATGAGTGCTACCACTGCAATCAGCAAGAAAGAGTACAAAAATGAGAAAAACCTGCCCTAAGCAGACCACAAGTGGACACCTGTTTATAGTATGGCACTAAAGCAAAGGGCAGAGTTTTGCTTTGTTGGACCTCAGCTGGGAACGTTCAAGTCAGGTCAGTCAAAAATTCTCCCACTTAACACATGCCTATAAATGAACATAAACAGGCCAAAAGTGTTGCTTTTGGGTCCAAGATACATTTTGGTGATGAGGTTTAATTTGTAAATATAGAATCTGTACATGAGGATCAACTGTATTTCACATTTTTTTATGCTATTGCAACAATATCTTAAAAAAATCATTTCTATGCCTCTGCTAGCTTAAATATCTTCTGCATTGTGACTGCCCTTCCTTTGCCTTCTGCATTTTATATCATTACTTAGAAGGAGTACATTTCTATTTTATGGTTACATTTATGCACATAACTATAGAAATATGGTTGTGTCTCTTAACCTTGTAGTAACAGCAATGATACATTTTCTCTCTACCATCTTCCCAAACACATTTTCGTTTCTACATTGCTGACTGCTGATTGCCTTTTCACCTCTACATGTACTTACACTGCTCCTGCCTGGAGGGATCATCTGTGTCTCTGGGCAAGTCATGGGAACATGAGTGAGCATGCCTGCACTATACAATTTACTTCATGAAATTCTGTTTCTATATTTTTAAAATCAGGTGCACTAATATACTGATTTATATTCACTAAAATTCACTAATTTTAGGTGTACCACTTGATGCATTTTGACAAATGAAAGCAGTCACGTACCCATTGCTCAACTAAGACACACAACAGTTCTATTACCCTAAGCAGTCCTGTCGGAACTCTGCAACCAACCCCACACCTAATCCTCTACCCCATCCAGAAGCCCTTGCCGTGCTGACCCTGTGGTGATGTCATTTCCAGAATTCCATACAAACAAAAACTTAAGAGTCTTTACCAAAAACTTCTGAAATTTACCTGTGTTGTATATCTTGGTACTGTAGCCTGTTTCTTTTTCTTTTTCAGTAGTACATCCTGTTTACATTCCTCTTGGGGAGTAGGTACCTGTACTAACATAACCTGTTTCTTTTTATTTCCCCTCCCTTCACACCCACCTTGCTTCCTCTGCCTCTAGATCCCCTTCCCTCATTTTCATTATCATCGTCATTATGTTTTAATTCATGTTTTCAATGTGCGGTGCTTACAATCACTGCGGTTAGCTGGTACATGTACATGGCGCATCGTAACTCTTTAGTCCCTTCCCTTTCTCCCCCACCCTCCGTCTCTGAGTCCCCTTCCCATTTGGGAAAGATTCATCTCCCTCTGTTTCCTTCCATCAATCTTTTGTTTTGGTCTCTACTATATTTGTATTCTGTATCTTTTTGACACAGAACAATCAGTCTGGGACTTTAAAATCACACTGAGTCTAGAGATCAATTTTTGGAAAACTGTTGTCTAAATAATATGAACATGGCATATCCAGTCATACTTGAAAACGATCACATTTTATTTAGGCCTTTAGTTATCTCAGTAATGTTTTTGCAGTTTTCAAGGCATAGTACACATATTTTGTTAAATTTATCCTCAAGTATTTCAGATGGTATCCTAAACTGATTGGTTTTCAAATTATCTATCCTCAATTACTTATTGCTAGTAATTCCTTTTTGTATTCTGGTCTTACATCCTACAAGTCCACTACATTTATTTAATTAGTGTTAGTAGTTTGCTTCTTTTTTGTATCTGTTGCAGGATTTTCTGTGTGGATGGTCATGTTGTGAATAACAGCAGTCTTCCATATATATTACTCTCTTCTCTCTGCTGTACTGCACTGCTAGACCTCTGGCACAGAGAAAGGATCCTAGTTTCCTCCTCCTATTCCTAATACTATTGGCATAAACTGCATTTCTGTGAATGCTATACCTCCATACATTAGTTTGGCTTTAAACAATCAATTCTTTTTTAAAGAGGCTGGAAAAATGGTTTAAAGAAACCTCTCACACTTGCCCTAATTTTTGCCATGTCTGGTACTCAGTATTTTGTACTGAGTAAGATTTCTGTTAGTTTTTTTTTCCTCCTGCCTACAGGTCATTAATATTTCTGTTGTACAGATTTCCTGATACAATTATTTATAGCTTTTATTTTTCTGAAATAATGTCATTTCCTTGCAGTTTTGAAAAAATCATGCCCCAGTCAGGCATCTAGGCGGATACTCTCCTTTCTCCCTGCTTCTGCCCCTCCCGCCAGCACTTGAAAACTGTTGTTCCATCACCCTCCAGCTTGCAGTACTTCTGGTTTTTTTTTTTCATTCTTATCTTTGTTCCGATCAGAACGTTGTTTCTTTTTCTTTACATGCTTTTAAGATTTACATTTTATTACTGCTTTTCAGTAATTTGCTTGTGATGCATGCATTTTTTTGCTGTTTCTTAAAGGTTCACTGAACTTACTGGATTTGGAGTTCTAATTTTTGTGAAATTTGGAAAACTTGGCTTCCTCCCCTCTGCTGTCCTCACTTTTCTTTCCAGGACATCCGTTTCACATATTTGGCTGCTCTACTGCGTTTCGGCAGGTTCCCTCTGGCCTCTTACACCGAGATCGCCTTTGGCTTCATCTTCGTGCTCGCTGATCTTCTCTCACTCAGTTTTTAGGGTACTGTTATCAACCCCATGTACTTTTCCACCTCAGACATTTTCATTTTCCACCTCGGGAAGTTTCATTTGGGTCTTTCTTCTATCTTACATTTCTTTCATCAACATGTACAAGTTTTCCTTTCCCTTCCAGTTCACAGGGGACCTTTAATTCCATCTGTAGATTTCTGGGTTTGTTTCCATTGAACCTCCCATCCTGTAATACATCACATTTTATTCCTTTTATTATTTCTGATAATTTCTGATTGGATGCAGGGTGCGGTCCACTTCATGGTTTTGGGTGCTGGGTTTTGTTAAGGGTGTTGGCCTTGTTCTGACAGGCAATGAAATTTCTTCAGATAATTTTATCTCTCAAGGCTTGCTTTTTAATTGCTGTTTGGGAAAGTCTGGGGCAGGCTTTGATTTAAGGATAATTCTGCAGACTCTGTCCTCTTTCCCTTGTATTGTGAGTTCTTTCCACCATGCAGGTGGCAAAATGAGCTAATCCCAGCCCTTTGCGAGCTGTAGATTTGTTCACCTAAGGCTTTCAGTGGTGGAATTTCACCCACGCAGGAGCAGTGCAGAATGGAGCCAAAGAACCTGGGGTTCTCTGAGAAATCAGAGTTCTTCCTTTCTATGAAGCTCCCTATCCCTGTCACTCTCCCGCACAAACTCTCCCTGCCGCGGCCTCTCAGACTGTAATTCAGTGGCCTCGAATCCTAACTCAGCGCACTTGTGGGACCTGGTCAGGCAGCAGGCACAGGCTCACCTTGTATGTCTCCTTTCTACCAAAGGCCAGGGTCCTGAGCTACCTGCTGTCCCCTGTCTGTGACCCTCAAGCCATCCACTTTGTCCAGTGTTTCTGCTGTTCACAGCAGAGGAGTGGACATCTATGGCAGTTCATTCTTCATGGGTGGAGGTGACATTGTCTTGCATACACTTTAGAATCTTTCTATGTATATACATACATGTGCATGTGTGTATATATACACACATACGGGCAGAGAGGGACAGGAGACAGTGGAAAGAGACACAGGGAGAGAAAAAGCAGTACACTTGAAGCGACGGTGACTTTACACAATTCAACCTCTTGAATTAGTATATTGCTAATAGCATCAAATATTAAGTAATACCTCAGTCTAGTTTTCCCTAACCCAATTCAGTTTCTTTTGAGCACGGATTAGAGGCTTATATTTGCTTACTTTACTTGTTTACTATCTTTCTATCAGCCTACATTGGGATATGAGCTCTAAGACTGTGGGATCATTTTCTGTACTGTTTACTGCTATTACCTCTGGTTCCTTGAATAATTCCTGGCACACACGCAGGATATGATAACTTCTGATGCCTATTCTTTGAGTAGGTGTGTAACTCTCAAGTGGTAGGAAATATACTTATCATAAAAGTAGGTGAGGTTAATATCCAGTTTACTTTTGATACAATATATTATTCAAACAGGAGCCTTCACAGAAGCAGGCAAACATTAAGAAAAAAAGATAAACAATAAAATTTGTAGTAAAAGAAAAAAATAACGTATCTAGTCTGATATTTACAGAAGTAAATAAAATGCAATAATGCAAAGCATACTGTACGTAGCTCCTCAGGTAGTCGGCACGGTCCCGAGTGTGCACTCCTGAGTCCCTGGCAGGCTATGCATGGGTCGCACATCACCTGTATCAATCAGAGCACAAAGGACAGGGAGGGAGACCCAGCTGCATTCTACCTCCAGTTAAAACCTGTGATCATTTAAGAGGTTACAGGCTAGATTAAGAATTTTATTTATTCTATATTAGTTACTTCCCAAGAAATTTTGTAATTTCTAACCACAATTTGTGTAAAAGTAGTAGATTTCTAACCACAGTAGAATCTGTAAAAGTAGTAATTTCTAACCACAATTTGTGTAAGGAAAGTAGTTGTAGTCACTATGTAATCCTTGCATAAAATTCCAGAATAAATTTATTTTTAACTTTAATGAGCTTTGATAGTTCGTGAACACACTCTGCAGAATCATACTTGGGGTCTTACATTTCCAATTAATTTTTATTTTGATGTGAATGATATCTGTCTTGCCTAATCAAAACTGACTCCCCATCATGACCACCAACACACAGCTTGTCATATGTTACAGGTTAAATGTGCTTCTACATCAACAATTTTACAATTGTAACTTGTGAGAGTTTTTCCAAAGCCCCTTGACTGGGTAAGTGCCACAGAAGATAACATACTGTACACTTATTAGATAACCCAATAAAGACACTGTCCTATTACTGAGCAAAGTATAGGAACAGCTTTGCCATGGGAAACCTTACTCTAGAACAGAGGCGTGCTACCACTAACTATAAAACAAAACTGGAAAGGCCCTTCCTTCCTTCTCGGTTTGGTTTTGTCAGTTTGCTTTGTTTTGGTTTGATTTTGGTTTCTTGAGACAGGATCTCGCTACATAGCCTAGGCTGCCCTTGAACTTGTGGCAATCCTCCTGTCTCAGCCTCCTGAGTGTTAGGATTATAGGTATGTGCCATCACACCAAGTAAACCCCTTTTCTTCGATTCTGGCTAGTGCTATGGGACCCTGACCCTGTGCTGTGCTAAGTATTCTCTTGTCTGTACTCTGCCAGCTCTTCACTGTCTAGCTGCATAGAGAGATGTCTAGTAACAGAGAACACTCATAAGTGTTTGCTCAGCAAATAAACTACTAAATCGGAACAACTCAACCTCATACACATTTTAGATGTCTGAGGTATTACCCTGTTTTATTCTTAAACCAAGCTAATTAACTATGCTCAATAACTTACCTCATAACACATTTATGTCTCACTGTGAAATAAACAACTCATGGGGCTCATGTCTCATGATGTCCTGTCACCCTAGACAGGAACACAAGAGGAATACAAATGGAACAACTACAGCATCTCACCCGTGACAGCATCTCATGTGCATGGAGCTTCATGGCATGTCCTGCTAGGCTATGCTGGCTGACACAATGAACACAGCTACCATCTGACCTCTTTTTATGTTACAGGCCTCTTCTCACCATTGTAAGTGTCAAACACAGGTCTGCTACTCGTTTTTGCCTACAGACTGCAGAGAGTACCAAGCAGTGAGACTAAGGGTGTGAGTCACACAGGTGGTCACGATCGTGACTGCACTGCATACCAACTCCGAGGACATGAGTGTGCCACCTAATGCCTCCATGTCACAACAGTCAGTGAGTGGGCTCACACAGCCAGCACCTTACAGAACAGCTGCAAGATCTAACTGAACACCCAGTGGATGCTAGTGCTGCTTGGCTTTAGTCACTCAACCTTCATGTACTGCAGTGTTCTCCACTGTCCAGGAGCAGTAACTGGCCACGTACTTAGCAGGCTATTGAAATAAGGAAATACACCTGGTTTAAGTTAATACATTTGGTTTAAGCATTCTAAAGCTAAGAACAGCAAGGTCAGCTGCAGCCCTGGCCCTCAGGGCCAGAGTGCCTGCCTACTCCCAGGGCAGCAGTGGGCAGCTGACAGCTGCCCTGGCCACTGACAGCTCACCACACCCTTTTTCTGAGGACTCCTCTTGGACCACCAGTCTAGAATGGCCAGCAACACAGTACTCTTTCCCAGAGGTAGCCTGCAGGCTGGAACTCAGGGAAGAAGGCGAAGATCCTGCCTCAAGGTGGGATGACTATGATCCAACTCAGACCTCACAGCTCCCTGGCATCAGAGCCAAGAGCTCCCTCCCCAGATCTCAATACACCTATGCAGGCTTTAACCTAGGCAACCAAGGTTAGGGTGGGCTCATCTGGCAGAAGTCTGACAACCATCAACAAACAGAAGCATTTCTGGCACGGCCTGTGATTTCATCAGGAACCACCAGTGCATAAGAGTGCCCCACAGTCCTGCCAATGCTGGGGGCTTCTGGAAATAAGCCTGAAGGGCAAGTCTGAGAAGATACCAAAGGGTTACAGGAGGGACAGGGTTCAGGACCCTTCAGAGCAACCTCAGTGAGGACAGGGTTTTCTAAGCCTGAGGGGGAAGGGACTCCCTTCTCACAGTCTGTGTGAAAGCCTCTCCTAGGCTGGTCTGTTCAGAGTTACACAGATACCCCATAAATACCTTTCCCACCCCAACAGCATCTATGTGAGCAGCATCTAAAGTCCTGTGAAACCTGCTCCACACTCAAAGACCTTTCAGGGAAGGTCTGGGTCCCTCTCTTTCCACAACCTGCACAGGGAGAGGGGTCCTGAGGCGGCGATTAGAGATTAAGAAGAAACAAGACATAAAAGGAAAGCTGGGACTGCATGAGACCTGATCTCTCTGATGGAGAGGTGGCAACAACCCAGCATGGTCTGCCTCTTTATTTATACACAGTAAAAAGGTAGGAAGCATGTGATAAAGTCAAAAGTGCAAGGTCTCAATGTTTTGCTGAGAACACTGAACGTGAAACATTCTCAAAGCTACCCGTGCTGTAGTTAACAAGGAGGAACACCAAGGCTAGACACATGCTGGACTGGCCTTGCTCCAGTCCCAACAACTTGTTTACATGGCTCCTCTCTGCAGTTCTGTGTTTTTGGGATTGGCCATGCTCCAGTCCCAAATATGTGGTTGATTTCCAGCTCAGCTGCTCCCCACACTCTCTGAATTCCCAAGGAGCTAACTACACACAAACCACATGCTTTGTCCTGTGCATTGCCCAGATGCTGCCTGACTCTGGTGTATGTCTGCATGCCACCGCCTCAAGGGAGCACAACACGAGCTGTCTGTTGGAGAGATGCACCAAGTCCAAGGACTTCAGGTTCTTGTGTTTAGCAACTTAACCCTATACAATCCGTTAACCTATAACATAACAGAAAATGCCCCCCTGCCCCCTGGCCAGTATATATCAGTTTCTTAGTTGCTCAGGGAAATAGTTCTTGTTCCAGTTTTGGCTGCTTCTGGTTTCTCAGAAATATCTGGTCACTGTGATGAACAGTTGGTCACTACGATGCACAGTGTGTAAATCAGTCCCCAATTGTCAAGCCATTCTGCCTCTCTACTTCCTGCTTGCTTATCCAGTATAAGACATAGACCACAAGAGATCAGGGCCTTTTAATTTGGCAGTGATCCAATCAGTGCCTGTTGATATAAATAAATCTGCCTACAAATTCTGGGTGTTGTTTCGGTGTTTCTGCTTGCTGTTACAGTAACTGCAGTCAGTGGCCAGTATAGCTGGAAATTGTCAGAAGGTATTAGTGACTTCAGCTTCTTTTTATAGCTAGCTTATTACTATGGCATTGTTTCACACATCTTGTGGTTATACTTTTCTGCTGGATGTTCAATACCAAGTTAAAAGTGAGACCTGTAGTAATTAAAATTAATCTCTTGCTACCTATTAACATCAGTTAAGTCTCCTCAGGATTTACCTTGGAACCATGTACAGTGTCTCCTGGTTCTGCTGGAGTCAGCCATCTGAATGAGTCATGATCAAGCTGCTTTCTGTGAAAGCCTGGGAGACTTTTCTCTCCTGGTGACTTCTCCTTAGGCACACTGTACACTGTTGATCTCTTTCCTCTGTGGTCTAACAATCTCTTTGGTCAGGACATTGTACGACTTACCAGAGTTGTAGGATATTGCTGAAAAGTTTCCCTCATGTCCTGTGTCCTCATTGACCTCAGAGGGCTGGGACCAAAATACTGGCTGTCCTCTTAGCCCATCTATCTTTCTTAATTTTGGCCTCTAAACTTTAGTTGTTGAACATCCAGAAGAGAAGGTTAATGATAATACACTGTAGTGGGAGCAGTGAGCTTAACTACTATAATTTTATCTGAATATCAAGCACCTTGAAATATAAAGTATAGCCAGAGAACTGTTATTTCTTACCAACCATGGATGCCCTAGTAGTTGAATCACTGTAGAGAATGTTGAGATAAAAGATACATAGTTTTACACAGAAAAATTGAGATCAAAAGCCATACATAATATTTCAGCATGACAGTCATGTTGACATTTTTGTAACACACTTTAATTTCCATTTTGGCATAGAATAGCCATTTTAGTCAATCATCTCTATCTAGTACATAAGAAGCTCTCACCTAATTTGTTGTCCTGAAATGGGATGTCAAGTGTGCAACACTTTTTGGACTGCTTAATGTCTAAACATCCCTAAGTACAATGGCACATACACAGCATATATATCACATATGTTTTTGTTAAAATATTATTATTGACTGGTGACCTCATCTTGGCTTGATGTGAACCTCTTATCACAAATATCTGGAGCACAAGAGAAAGGCAGATGTCTGAATCTAAAAGATATTTATTACCATAAACAATCCCAGTTTTACATTTCAGAAGACCTGTGTATCTGGAAGGCATGAATACATTTAATACACCGTAAGACTAGTAACATCAATTGTCATAGCCATATGAAAACTTTTGCTTCTTAATTTATCTATGTATCAGAGCATCTTTACATCAGAAAACCTTATTGTCTTATTTCTAGAAAACTTAGTTTTGACGATGATCAATGTTAACATATCACAATATATTTTGAACAACATTTTTGGGGTGTCTCCTATAAGGCTATGGAGACCACTGAGGATTCTTACTAATGAACAAGAACTGGATAATTTTTGTTTTAGGCAGCTGCTTTTCTTTTTTTATCAGAAACTATTGGAGTCCTGTCCAATAGCTTCTCCTACCCTAAGGGATT